TATTTTAGATTTATAATAAATAATATATATTATAGGATATAATTATTTTTAATTATTTATAATTTATTTAAAATTATTAAAATTTAATTTATAGATAAATATGATAAATAAAATTAAATTAATTAAAAATTAAAAAATATTTAAAAAGGTTATCATCAAAATTATTTTAAAATATTAAAATTTAATTTACATGTAAATATAATAAATAAAATTAAATTAGATAAAAAGTTTAAAAAAACTTAAAAATGTTTTCATTAAAGAAATGTTTTTAAAAAACATCTCGTACTAGATAAAAATTTATACTAAGTATATAAGAGTTGATAAAGTTTTAATTAAATGATAATGAAAGACATGTTGAAAATATTATCATTAAATTGGAGTTGAATTAGTTAGATTATTATATTTTAATTTAATTAAATAGTCATTTTAATCTCAAAATTTCAAAGATTTTGTTATTAGTTCATGAAATAAGTAAGTGAAAATATAAATTGAAAAATAAAATAATCATTGATATATTTAAAGATTAAAATGATAATATAGTAAAACTGAGGAATCTATTTCACATTTTAAAGATTCATTTAATATTCTCTAATAATTTTTAATGAGTGAGTTTATATTATTTAATATTTATAACATTAATTCCATAAAACTAACATTTAAATATGTAGCGCCTGTGGCCTAATGGATAAGGCGCCTGACTTCTAATCAGGCGATTGTGGGTTCGAGTCCCACCGGGCGTGTTTTAATTTCTAAATGCTTTTATAATTAACATGTTGTCTTTTGTAAAAAGAATATTAGAATACAAATAATTGTGGGTAATTTTTTTATGATATTTTCTTAAGTAATTTTTAAATATTGATTTAAATTTGAATACAAATAATTGGGACGAGGGCAGAATGGTTTAAATTTGTGGGTTTAGGGTTTAGGGTTTAAGGTTTAGGGTTTAGGGTTTACTAGGTAGATTCATCCATCGTCAGAATAATTTAAAACTATTTTTTATTTATATTATTTTACTTGCACTTTTGTTTTTATAGAGAATTTCGTATGCCACCCCTTTTGAATGATGTGCCCTCTATTTCATTCACCCGTGAATCTTCATATATTTCGATTTGAAGCTTAAGCCTTAAGGTCCCCTCCCTTCAAAAAAACAAACTTATTAATTTTTCTTTTTAGACTTATATAAACATTCAATTACGATCCAAAACAATTATATTCGGGCAAATGATAAACACACCTCCACTCTCATATAAATACACCTCCTTTTTAAAAAAAAAATATAAAATGTCTATATTATCCTTAAAAAAAATTTCTAAATTTACACCCCTTTCCCTGCACCCTCTTCCCCGCACCCCCTTCCCCTCACCCCACACCCTCCTTCTCCGCGCAATATATAATAAATAGGAGCAGTAATATATAGGTTTAATTACTGCTACATTTCATGGCTTCTCTCCTCGTCCTCACCACTGTCCAACCTGGAACTCATTGGAGCGGTGGTGCCGAGGTTGAGATACACCAACCTTGAATCCAAGTTGAGGTTACTTGTTGTTGTTGTTGCCGCTGCTGCTACTGTTGTTGTGGTCCTCGGTCATAGGTGGAGGGTAGATGGGTGCCGCGGAAGAAGGAGCATTGTTGTTGTTGTTGTTGACATTGCCTTCTTCTCGCGACATGACAAGAGCCGCGCGGGGGTCCGCCTTCCACTTCCTCAAGGGTCTCTACAACGCTCCCAAGGGCCACCGCCTCCTCGCCGCCTCCCAGGCCCTCCGCCTCAACGCCCCCCGCGTCGGCGGCAGCTTCGCCGTCTGGGGCGGCCTCTTCTCCCCCTTCGACTGCACCATGGTCTACCTCCGCCAGAAGGAGGACCCCTGGAACTCCGGCGCCGGCGGCTTCCTCTCCATGCGCCAGGGCCTCCCCGCCTCCACCCGCTCCGCCGCGTTCGGCGGCGTTCTTCTCGCCCTCATCGAGGGCGCCGGCATCATGCTCAACAAGTTCCTCAGCGCCCAGCAGCCCATGCCCATCATCATCGACGAGCCTTTACCCCCCAGCGGGATGCCCGCTCCTCTGACTCCGCCATCTGACTCCGCTGTGCCGTCGTGGCTCGGCGGCTGGTTCGGCGGCGAGAAGAAGGACGAGCCTGTGGGTGCTGGAGGAAAGAGGTTTAGGTAGAAGAAGGGTGTGGGGTGCGAGAAAGGGAGGGTGTGGGATGCGGGGAAAGGAGGTGCGGAAAACGGGGGTACCGAGAAGAGAAGGGAATATAAATTTAGAAATTTTATTTTTTTTAAGGGTAATTTAGATATTTTATATATATTTTTTTAAAAAGAGGGTGTGTTCATAGGTGAGTGGAGGTGTGTTTATCATCTGCCTTATATTCGGCTCTTTGAAAGTAATAGAGCAGCCCAATAGTAGCCCATTAATATATCTACTGCTTTCTTCCTGTCTCAGTTTTACATAGTTTTGTTTTTTGGTAATTTAAAAGTTTACAAAGTACTCTTATCCTTAATTTAATTTTAATTGATTTTTTTAATTTTTAAAAGAAAATAATTTAAATAATTTTTTTAAAAAAATCTTATTAAAATAACAAGTTTTTTTTTATTAAAAAAGGAATTAAATTAGTTTTAAAAAATACTGAATAAAGGAATATTAAAAAAAAACTGATTATTCTCATCACAACGTCTTATATTTTAATTTTAGTGCTCAATTTTTAAATTTTTTTTCTTTTGATTCTTCTTAATTAATATTTTAGTACATGTATTTCATTGCTTAAATATTTATTATATATAATTAAAATTTATAATAAATTATACGTACAAATAAATATTATATTTAATATATATAATATTTAAAATTATATAAATATATTTTTATACATATAAATTATATTTTATTGTAATACAAATATATTTTTATATATTAATAAAATAATTCTTACAAACTCTTTCATTAAAAAAATATCGCACATTTTTCTGCTCTTTTAGAAGGGCTAATTAAATAGAAAAATTGGAGGGAAATAAGTGAAAGAAATCATGTAATTAATCACCGGTAATCTTGATTTAAAGTTCTACTTATACAATTATGTTTAAAGCACAATCTATATATAATAATCATATCTGATTTAAACAAAAAACAAAATTATCTTTTATATAAGATACTTGTGATATCTGTGTGTTTAGTTATGCCTTGTAAATAGAAGCCAGTTATAACTTTCATGTGTTTTTCTTCAATGAATACGATTTCTTAGTAAGTGAATGTGTTTGCAAACACACATAGCAAAAAAGAAAAACAGTGAAATCCATTTCTAACTAAACTGATTTCCCTTCACATGGATACATAATTCCACAGGCTATGTTGGTTAAAGAGTGAGTGAATTGGTGAATGGAACTCTGAGCATGACTTAGCTTATGGAGTAGGGACCCTAACGATAACCTTGTTCAGTACAAGACAACAAATTCCGAACCATTTCAACATACATGAATAAGACCCATTAGACTTATTGTTCTGGAAAAGTCAATCTGCAAGTGCTGTTCCATTCATCATTATTTTTTTGAATTTTTTTTCTTACCATCACCTTTATTTTGTGTATCTTTGTGGATGCTCATGTGTATGGTTGACAGTTCAAAGTAAGGCACAGCATTATCCAATTCTTTTGAAAAGTAGAAATTGCTACGTACTGTGCGAATAAATATCTATATGAATTAAATATCGTGGAATTAGCTGAGGACATGACCAAACAAGGACTCACTGAAGACTACAGAGTACTATTCTAAAGAAACTTGTGCGTATTCTCATATGCAAATCCTACAAGATACAACAAAAACTCCTTTGTGTTGCATGTTCAATGAGAACTCAGTCCCATTTCTTTAAATCTGTAGAGAAAAATTACTATGAAGATTATATTAATATTAATTTTAAGAATATATATATATATATATATACGAAGAATGATCTATTTATTCTAAGAGTAAGTCTACCTAAACTTATTTCATTTAATAACTCATGTTCTGTATAAAATTTCAACAATCCAACCGTTGAATTTAAAGTTTTTAATGTATAGATTAAGTCTGCAAATTTTTAAAAAATTTAAAAATTATTTAATATTTCATTTCATTAATTCAAATTGACGGATGATCATAAAATTTTTTTATATATTGATTTGAATTAATGAAACTATGTATCAAATGATTTTCAAATTTTTTAAAAATTTACAAATTTAATCTATACATTAAAAATTTTAAATTCAAGGATGAGAAGTTTTCAATAAATAAAGATGAGAGACACGGTAGAGAATTTGAGTAATAAAAAAATTGAAATAAAATGAATTGCATGTTAATCAAACTATAAATATTGCTAATTTTAATATAAAAAAATCATAGATGAAATTACTTAACACATTTATGAAAAAAAAGGTTAAAAACTAAAATAAGTATTTTTTAGGTTATATGAGTGTAATATACTTAGTAAGTTCCATTGTTCCTACTAATTAAGTTATATCATTAAATTTGACTTTTTTATATTTTATATATATTGATGTGAACTTAATTATTTATAATTTTAGTGAAATTTTTTAAAGAGATTGATAGTTAATTTTATTTTTACATGAGATCGTGCAATTGGTATCTTATCCTGATATAAAAATTTTGTAACAAAAAAAATCATTTCCTAAAGTTTAGAAATTAAATTGCACATTGTTCAAATTTCAAAAAAGTTACATATGATACTTGGGAGTATTTTTTAAAAGAAAAGGTTTGGCATGCTTTAGTCACATAATTAAAAAAAAAATTGTCTTGTCATGATTCATTCTCTAATTTATTGCAACATAAACTTTAAATCCTAAATCCAATAAATTTTCACATGAGCCAAAAATTCAACCTAAATATTCCGCAAAATATATCATTTCTACGACGTATGAATGCAAAATATTTAACCATACACTAATCTATAAACTTTAAATTTTAAATCCTAAATTCAATAAATTTTCATATGAGCCAAAAATTCAACCTAAATTTCCGGCTAAATATATTATTTCTACGATGTAGGAGTGCAAAATATTTAACCATACACTAGTTTATTAGAAGTAACGTAAAAATCATTTTTGGCACTTCCAGGACTTTTCATTACATTTTTAAAATTGAAGTAGTGGGTTAGCCATGAGTCAAAATTGTAGAAGTTAATTTACATATTTTTTCTAATTTTTTTATATAAAAAGTTATACTATTAATTTATTTTCAATGATGTTCCGATCCAGGGTAGGAGGCATGGTGAGATTGAAAGGCAAGTTTCCTTGTAGGGAACAGGATTCAGGATTGGAAGAAAGGGAGAGGAAGAACATTGAATTGGATATTTGGTTCCATTCTGACAAATGTACATCATCTAATGTCCCAAGAACAATTTAGAAAACCAGAAATGAAGGGCATGATAACAAGGTTCATTAAAAGCGGTGTACGTCCACTTCCACCCTAACCCTATGATACGTACCCATGTCATACGTAGACATAGACACACATCCCTATGCCTACACCCTGCACAAGGCCTATTACCCTAAACCTCTAATCTAATCTAATCTAATCTAATCCTCCACACCTCACTTTCAAACCATTAAATTCATAACTGCCCTTCAAAAGTGCTAGCCACATGACAAAGGCTTCAATATCACTTTGGTTCTGTAATTTCATAAGTTTTACTTTTTATTATTTATAGTAAACATTTTTTATTTTATTTGTATGTCTTAAATTTTATTTTCTTTTAATTCATGTCATACATTATTATAAAAATTAAACGGTAAATTTCATAAAATTTAAAATTTTAAAAATGAAAATAAAATTATATTAAAATTAAATTTGTTTTTATCTTTGTAAACATTAACACTATATTTAGATAAAATAAAACAAAATAGAAAAGGATAAGAAAAACAAAACTAAGATAAAAATATTAAATTCTTACCATTTATTTAGGATTTATTTAGGATTGGTGAGTTAAATGGGTAAAGTCACCAACCCATATAATTTTTTAAAAAAATATATAATTTAAAATAAACTTTTATCTAAAATAAAAAATTTCAAATTAAGCATTATGCATACAATATTAATTAATTAAAAAGTATATGACTTTAAATAATTAAAACAAAAAAATAAAAGTTCTTGTCAATGGAGTGATTATCCATCAATATTAAATTTTATCAGAGGCTTTAGTAGATAAATTTATAATAACTTCATGTTTTTAATATCAATTTCATCTTCATCTACAAAAAAAATAATATCTTGCTAAAATAATACATATATATTAATAAATTTGAAGTAGATCATTTGTGGATTGAGTTGATGGGGTGTAAGTGGGTTAGGTAGACAATCCAATCCACCACGAATTCAACTCAAGTGAGCCAAGTTCAAGTTGAGTTTATTGACTAATCATGAATTTTTTGATTTTTTTGTCTAGCTTGATCCATTTTCAAGATGAGTCAAGTTAGTTTATGGGACAGAACCCACTTTGACAACTCTAGAACAAGATCACCCTAATGATATCAATGAACTTATGGTTGAAACCTTGGCGCTAGAAAGAGGGCCTAGGTCTCTCTTGTCCCTTAGTTTTTGACTTGTTTCAATATGCCTAAAAGTCTTATATTGTTTAGGAATCGAGGCTAAGAATAGGTTATAAATACCTTCCCTTCTTAAACTAATATGTCTTTTTAAAGACAAAATTATGATGATCTAACGAGTGTCAAAGTAAACAATACCACAGAAGCAGTGATGCTAAGGTTTAGGATTGGAACATTAGCACTAGAAGGAGGGTTATGTCACTCTTGTACTTTAGTCTTGATTGGAGGGTTTGTTTTGGTATACATAAAAGTCTCATCGTTTAAAAGTTGAGGTTAAGGATAGTTTATAAACATTTTTTATCTTTAACCTATCAAGACACCTTTTAAGGACAAAATCATGACGGTCCAAGGATCACCAAAGCGGACAATATCTCAACACAAGTGCATTAATCCTAATGATATCGATAGCCTTATAGTTGGAATAATAATGAATAATTTAAATTATGATCTAAAAATATTATTATTAACTATATATACAATTTCTTTAAAAATAAAAACTATTGAAATTTAATTTAGAAATTGAAATAAAAGAAAATATATTGAAAGAGAAAAACAATTAAGAAAAATAAAATATTTATATTTTTTAATAAAAAGTATACTTTTGTTTCGTATGAACTTTTCAACTCCACTTTTTTCTAAAGCATTTTACCCTAAAAAATAGTGCATATTTCTTCTCCACTTCTTTTGGTATAATTTTTCTTCTCTTTTATGCAGATTCTTCAATTATTTACCACTCATTATTCCTAAATTAACATCAATTATTTTTATTTTATTATTTAAATAAAATACATTGAAACACAAAATATTCCTTTTACACTAATATAGATAAAAAGATGACAACAACAAGATCAACCACATTTAATAAATAACTAGGTTACTTAAACATTCTTAGAGAAGTTCTATTCCCTACATATTTAATCGGAACAATAAATAGGATGAGATATTAATTAGAAGTATATTATTAAAATATATCTCGTAATATTTTTACAACATGTAATTTGAAAAATATTACGCTAAGACTTCTTGCGAAGAAAATTAATATAAACGCCAAAAAAAAAAACAACAAAGATGCCAATGCAATTTTATAAATCTCAAGAAACATCAATGTAATTTCTTAAAAATAAATAAATAAATAAAAACTCCCCATTTCTTCTTTTTTTTTTGTCCAAATAACACATTTTTCCATTCAGTTCTGTTCTATTTCTCTCGTTCTTGTTTTATTTTTATTTTTTTTCCACTTTACCTTACACCTAATCATAAGTAAATAAGTGAAATCGATTTAATATTAAGTGGGGGCAGACACAAGATCCAGGTGAAGGAATCTTCTTCTATTTTCCCATCTTTCTTTTAATTGCAAAATAATAAAATTCACTGTACTCCTAACATTGTAAATGATTCTTCATTTCTTCTTGTCTAGGTACCGTTGAAAGCTAAACATGCCCAAATGTGGCACTAGAAGCAGAACGCGCCAATCCTCAGATAAATTCTACCCCATTTTCGGCCATTATTATCATTTTGAATTTGTTGTGCAGCTAAACAAATTGATTCAAATTAAGAATAATAGCAAGGACTACGCAACAAAACATGTGATTTCATATTATTCCGTACTACTTGCGTACACAACTTAACAGTCCAGTCTTTATTATGTATACAATTGAACATAATTCTCTGTGAAAAGTTATGTAACCATGGACAAAAATTGAGAATGAAAGATCTTGTAACCTCAAAACATAAAAAGTGAATAAAAATTAAAATTCCCCGTCCTGTTACAAGGACAAATAATAATAAGCTGGTTATGTACGCGTTGGTGTCCATGTTTGAAATAACTAACTTTTTGGCCAAATAACAAAGTTGATAAGATTATCATATTATGTTAGAACAAGATACAAAAAACATACAAGTAGCTGTAATGTAACATCTAAAAGGTTAAAGCCCGAGTTAAACTCTTCTTGACTAAAGTCTATACCCTATAGAGCTATATAAGAATTAGGAATAAAGCCATCATCAATATTTCTTGCATAAAAGTCCACCAGAAGCCGTTAGTAGCACAGCTAGAAAATCCCGTAGAGGCTATGAAATGGAAAGTCTGATTCATACCCCCATTGAGAAGCTCAGTTTTTGAATTAGATTCTAACAAATTGGCCTCTTTCAAGCATAGCTTTACCCCATATGGAACATGACTTGTTGACATTACTCCAACTGGGTAGCAAAGGTTGGGGTTGTTCCATGCCCCAAAACGCCTTCCCATTTTTACCAAAAACTCTTTAGAGAAGTTAACCTCTCCTGTTATATCGTTTCCACTTAGGTAAAGTGCATTGAGACAAGGAAGAGTTTCAAGCTTTGGTGACAGGTTGCCTGTGAGATTGTTGTTACTAAGTCCCAAAAATCTCAACCTCTTTAATTCTGATATAGACTCCGGAATTTCCCCTGTCAAGCCCATGTTAGAGAGTTCCAAAATGGCCAATTTTTTGAGGTTTTGCCACTTTAGGACCCTGATGTCCCCACCTAATGGATTGTTTGACAAAACCAATTCCTCTAAGGAGGACATCTCTTGCAAAGACAAGGTCAACCCACCAGTGAATCTGTTATTCCTAAGGTCCATAAGGATCAGATTCTTAAGATTAGCAAATTCATTTGGAAGATTTCCTTCAAGGTGGTTGTGGCTCACATCAAGCTTCAACGCTGAAGTTAAGCTTCCAAGTGTCAAAGGCAAAGACCCTGATAATGAATTACTACTTAAGTCAAAAATTAATAACTCGTTTAGTCCACCAAAAACATCTGGAATCCTCCCAGTAAGATAGTTTCCAGCAAGAACAAGCTTCTTCAACTTGATGAGATTGCCAATGCTTGAGGGTATTTCACCTGTTATACCATTTTCTAGTAGCACCAGTGATTGGAGGTTTTTGAGGAGACCAAAACCTGAGGGAATGTTTCCAATGAGACCCGGGTTTGATCTAAACTCCAGTGATTCTAAGCTGCCAGCCAGTTTCTCCCAGTTTTCAGTGGGGATGGTAGCTGGAAACCTGTTTTGTGATTGAAAGCAACTGAAGAAGGATAGAGATTTTAGGTGCTGGAGCTCAAATAACTGTGGCCTAAATTCCAAATCTTGAGCACAACTCAGAGAATTGTCATGGACGGGTCCAATGTTCAACACAGAAACATACCAAAATCCATTAAATAGATCACAAGAAACCCCCTACAGAAGAAAACAACACAGAGATCACAGTTAAACAAATTATTGATCATCATGTTCTATTTCAGTATTTTGCAAAGAGTTCTGGTTACATGGTTAAATAGGCAACAAAACTTGTTTAAAAAAAGAGGGAGGACAACTACTGAAGAACAATTGATAGACAAGGGATTGCACTTCTACCTTTGGCATCCAGCAGAACGTAAAAAGCTTAGGTTCACCTCAGAGTTCATTTATAAAATTGAGTGCAAAGTCTTAATTATGGACCTATTAACAATTGGCCAAAATCTTCAACAGTAGAACAATATGGTTGTTTTTGTTAAGAGTTTCACTGTTGATTGTGAAAAAAGTCTGTGCAAATCATTAAACAAACAGAAACTATATCCTTGTAGTTGTAGCTACACTATTCCATCTGACACTCATCAAGAAACGATTACCTTACAAAATTAAAACAAGTTGGCACTGTTCAAATATTATCTCTAGCACAGTACAAAGTAGTTGGTTAGACAGTGATGGCACACAGGCACAGCTAGGTGTCTGGAAAACGGTACCTGAATCGGAGTCCAACCACAAGGATCCGGATAGAGATCTGAGCCATTCCAGGAATCACCAACAAAGCCTTGAATGGTGGAGTATAGAGCTTCCTGTTCTGCTTTCTCCATTGGAGCTATATCAAGGTCCTCTTGTCCACAGCATATTGCACTCATAGAGAGGATGAAAATAACAAACATGGCATGACTAATAGCCCTGGTTCTCTTCATGATGTTATTGAGTCAAAACAAGAGAAATTCAAGATGGATGAAGCAAAATTGGTAAAAGCAACCACAAGTAGGAGGTGCTTGGCTTGAATTCAAGTGCATCTTATGGTTGATGTCTTACATGTGCATTATAAAAAAAGATGCAGGTAAAGATGGGAGAAAGTTGAAACAGATGATGGAATTGTATTGTATCCTTCAACAATGAAGTGGGTATCTAGAAAAATATCCCAACATGGGCCCTTACAGAAAACTACTGTTGTTTTGGAAGAACACGGATTGTTGTATCAAGAAAGAAAGAACAAGATCCTGAATTTATGCTTAAACTTGGCAGAATAGTGGGAATGGAGGAAACACAAAAGCTGAGCAAGAAACCTGACCTCTTCCTTCCTTCTTGTGTTTATGGAAAAACTAAGGAAGTATTATATTATATATAAATATTTAAGAAAGAACACGATATATGTTAGCACAGTTCTCGAAGCTCAAAGTCATAATAACAATGGCATTAATATGATCAGAGCAGAAGAAACTGAGAGGCCTATAAAACGGAAGCAAAAAAAGTTAATAACAGTGTTTCCTCTTTATGCAGCTACGCTATGCAAATTGCACACCCTATGTGATTGTCTTATTGAACAGTATTATTAGAGGAGTAATGAGTATTGTGGAAATTATGTGAGTGTTAGTGAGAAGTTTGATAGGGTATTAAAAGTGTTATTGGTAGTTGAAGGCAATAAAGGGATGAATTAGTTGAAGGAGCGTTGAGTTTGCAATAGGCGTAGAAGGGGACCATTGTCCATGCAAAAGGAAGAGGTGCATGTAAAAGCATGCAAGACAAATAAGGTTTTTATCCGCTATTGCCTCGTTGTCTTGGTGAGTTTTTGACAGCACCATTCAAACCAAAAGGACAATAGAGAACACTGTAGCTAGCTTTCAAGAGTGCACTTAATCACATTGCTACATATATATAACAGTTAGCCTCAGAATTGGACCATGCCTGTACCACAAAAACACGTTCAGTCTATTTTTCTCCTCAAAATTTGTAGCCACCTATATCAAAGTTCAACTTTATAAATCTTCAATGTAAACAAGTAGAAACATAATTTTCCTTTTATTTAAAAATGGGGGTTTAGATCGAAAATCGGTTCAACAAAATGTGTGAATGTTATAAATCTTCTTAACACCGTTTTGATACCCATGAATAATTAATAAAATATAAATTGGATCGACTTGTTAGAAATGTGGGAGTGAATGGATTCAGATCTTCTATAGTTACACATTTTCAACCGCATAAATCTTAACCTTTCAGAAGATTTATTTTTGTATTAATTTGAAGCATGAAAATTCCTTTCAAAAATGATTCATGGTTAGATTTAAAACTGCACCCCGTACAGTTCAATTATTAACTGCAGGGATCCAAATACTGAAGTAAATATATTTGCACTTGCTAAAGAAAATTAAGAGCGGACACGGTTTTAAATGCTAAAGAAGAAAAGACAAACTCTTTTTGTCGAACTTTTTCAACGAATTCATTGCTTGCAATTTAAGAAGAAAAAAAAAAATTAACGAAGACTGGTTTCGTGTATATTACCGCGGAATTCTTAGTTGGCACAATAATTATCATGAACTGTCGAGTCTTTAAAGAATGCTGGATGCTAATAAAATTTTTTCTTTTGACAAAAATTGCTCAATGTGAACATTTTTTTTTTCGATTGAATTAATTTTGTTGAACAATTATGTAATATGATTGCTTAGTTAAACTTATTAATTAAATGATTATGTGATTGGTTGTTTAATTATTGTAAAACTCTAAAGATTAAATAATTCTTATGAGTTTAGTTGTTTATAAGTTAAGGTCAAAATTGATCAAGTTTAGAAGAATGTATGTAAAGTTTTCTTGAGAGTTAAACTTGATAAATTCATTTTCTTAAGAAATCTAAAGAGGTTAGAAAGAGGAGCTTTGAAGTCAGAGAAATTTCTTCCTTCTATTGATCTTGTATAGCGTACAGATATTTTCCTGGAGCGTAGATTGTGTAACTAAGTTGAGATTCAAAGCTTGAAAAGTTAAGAATCAAAGTGTAGGAGTTGTCGTGCAAAGTGCCTCGAAGGATTGCATTCTTCCTCTTTTACCTCTTTTCTTGGTGATTTGAGGTAAGGGAAGTTCTTAGATTGTTTGTTGAATTGTTTTGTTGAATTTTTGCCTGGATTATGCATCATTGTGGTTGTGTCGTTCGATTGAAAGATGAAACTTTTATGTTTTTGAGTTTTGTGATTTTTTGAATGTGTTGAGGAGAAAAAAGTGATCTTATGATCCTATGATTGTTGCATGTTGTTCAAAATAACGATTCTAAGTTGTTTTACCGGTATATGTGTTGTTGTTTGAGTTGTGTATTGGTTTAATTTGGAGAATCGCAAGTATTAGTGTATAATCGTGATTCTGTTAAGTGAAAAATTGGTCATCATGTTGGGTGTGACAAGTGTTAAGGATTCTCTACCTCACTAATGCCAAGTGCGGGATAACGTTGGACATGAGTTAGAGTGAAACTCTCTGACTTGGTCATGTCGAGCATGAGATGAGGAGTGTTGAATGTGATTACCCTTGAAATTCTCTAACTTGGTGATGTTATGCATAGGATTGGTAATGTCAACATGATCAAGTTAGTAGCTATCTACCTAAATAACGTCAGGCATGGGCTTTGTAATATCGAGCGTGATGTACACAAAGATTCCTTGTCTCATTTACGTTAGACACAAGTGGAATGATGCCAAGTGTGAGTGAGTTAGAGACTCTCTGTCTCACTGACACCGAACGCGAATTGAATGGCGTCGGACATGGTTATCCTAAATGGAAATTGTAACTTAGTTTATTTAAATGTTGAACTATGATGATAGTTTACCTTATATAGATGATGATTTAATATAGCTCTTTATGTATTGATCTTTGATGATATATGATGACGTTATTAAGTTGATAAAAATATAAGTTGATTATTAGTCGTAGTTGTATGATGATAAGTTGTATATTATTGAATGAAGTTATGTTATGAATGTTCGATGCATGTAGTTGTGTTGTGTTGTAGACTTGGGACTAAGAGAAGTGTCGTTTTAAAAGATGAATATCTCGTTGTGAGGATATGTGTTGTGGTGCTTCGAGAGTTTAGTTGTTGAAAATCCTTCTTAAGTATAGTTGTCTCTTGAAATGGAGTGTTGAGTTTCCTCTTGGTCTTTCATTGATATTGTATGGGAGTTAGGTTGAATCATATTGGTTTAAAAGCAACCAATCAAGTAAGGTACAAAATTTGGGATCAAAATCCCTAATTAAGCACTGGAAATGTGTGCAATATTGGAAGGTAGTTAACAAGTTAATTCCATATAGGTTTAGTTAAGGATGCTAAGGTCATGGTAAGCTCACACCAAGTTATTATATTCTGACAGGGATACTAGACTTTTCTAATTTAAGTGGCAAAATCTGAGAAATCATGTTATATTATGGATTGATAACCAAATTTATTGTTAATCTAACAAATCCAAAAAGATTGTGTTATTAAGTTAGTTCGATAAGATCAAACCACTTAGACTACTCACTTCATTGTAAGAGATTTCTTAGTTGAAATGTGTGACAATATATTAAGTTGCAGTGTTGTTTAAGTTGATATGTTGTTGAGTTGTATTGTGTTGTAAGATGATATATTGTTTAGTTGATATGTGGTTGCGATGTTGACAAGTTGTGTTGTTTATATGATGTGTTGATATGTTGAAAGATGTTAAGTTTAAGAGTTGTAATGAATGTTGATTTATGTTATTGAAGTTGAGTTTAAACTATTATTGTGTTTTGTTGATGGGGTTACTTTATGTAATTAGTTTATTTGCTTTTATATCATGTTGTTCTTTTATTTTGAGCTTATTCTTATATTTTTGCTAGTTGTTAGCTTGAGATGATCATATTTTTTCTTTATTGATATTATTTTTACATATACATACTCCTTTAGTTACATATATATAGCGGTGTCCTTAGAGATTTTGAAATTCCCCTCCCATATCCGATGACCTTCTCTCTTAATTTATTTCTTTGGGAGGGGGTTCCATTTAATTGACATGTAGTAATGTTTGTACGTAAATTGCAGACAACTTGGAATTTATATAGACAAAAATTACAACAAAAAAAAAAAAAACTATGCTAGTGGTCCACACTGAAATTAAATAAGGCACCGTAAGTAGGGTTTGAAGTTGAAGAGCAAGTGAGCATGATAGTGCATTGATCCATGAAACTCACCTAATCATAACCCTTCCCCTTTAGAAATGAGATGAGAACACCTGTAAGTACCACTTATTGAAGAAAAAAGAACTCTTGGAGGAAGGACCACTCTAACTTGGGGATGGGAAGGATAATGAAAATGATAAAAGATTAAGCATGTGTAGCCAAAGGCAACACTACTTTATCACCCTTCGTTCAGAAACTAACTAGCATAACCTTCATAAGTCTCTTTCTGTCCTACTCTCTTCCCTACAATTTATGTACGTGGTTGCTTTTCCATACTAAGTTACACATACAATACTATTATTACTACATCTTACTCATTAACCCACCGGCAAAAATGAGGAAAAAATAATTAACCTTTGTGTGTGTTTCAATGTAATGTCGGTAACTTTTATATTTCCCCCTTCACAATATTCTCTTTTTGTAGAATTGCATCAGTCGTAAAGAAAAAAAAAATGGAATTTCCTTATTTAGCTTCACTTCACCTATAAAAGTTGCATATTTAATCGACTAATTATTAGCACAAACGTGTTTCCTTTAACAAAGAGCTTTATTGAAGCCACGCTGCTAAGTGGTAAGCATAGCAACATGTGTCTTTTTCCGTAGGCAAGGACTAGGCAAATTTCTTAGTCCAAATCTGCTTTTGTAATCATTAAAATTAAACTTGAATGCTAACACGCTCCTATTTCTTTTCAAATTAAAGTGTATGATTCTGATTATGAAAAATATTAGGTACACACTCTTTTTCTAACATTATTTTATTATCGATGAAAAATCATAAATTTTAGTAAATCGTACTATTAAATTAGGAAAGAAATTTATTATATAAGATTTATAGAGAGTGTTAGAAAAAAAAATATTAAAAAAGGTGTGGCTAATATTTCTTTTTCTTAACGGTGTTTTGAAAATTATGTCAATTTAGTTTGTTGGACCAAAAAATTGGTAAACTAATAAATTTATTACCAAAAAATATTAAAAATTGGTAAAATCAGTTAAAAATTGACCAAAAAAAGATATATTTTTATTTTAAATATAAATTTATTATTGTTAATAAATGATGTGTATTGTTACATTATTGTAACTTAAGTTAAGAAACTCAGGATTTGATGTCATGATTTGGAAACCTTGAAGTTCAGAAACTCAGGAGTATGTACTTAATCATATCTATCACAGTATCCTTCGACAATTTAAAGAGGGAGTAACAGAACTCAAATTTAATTTACATGTTTATCGAAAACAATAATAACATAAAATCATTAAGTATATCAATAATTTCATTTATAGGAGCTAAAATAGCCCTATGCTAAAAGTAAACTGGATCATTATTTTTTTCAACAACTAGTATGAATAAGTACTGTGAGTGGTACCTGTATTTGGTATGAGAAAAATGAATTAATACATCATTAAGTGCATTTTGAAAAAGGTTGAGTGTT